ATATATATATATATATATATATACTTGTCATGCTTCAGAAACCACTACCTGTTTTTTCACATTTTTAATTCAGGCTGTTTACCAGACATACTTTATTATGTTTGACTCTTATTGATACAAGTGAAGCAAAATAGTTGCCAGAGAGAAAAGTGTAAAGTTTGTCTTTGGAAATAAAGTTAAAATATATTTTCTGTTATTATTTTTGCTTTTTGTTTGAAATGAGTGTAAATTGATAATTCTGGTTTTAGAATGTCTAAATTCACAAAATGCCAATTAGAAAATGTTTGGAACTTCCTCCATWTTATTCCAGATTAAACTAACAATGTGCTTCCAGCTTCAGTTTTCCAAAAAGCATTTTTCTGAGTGGTCGGTGTCTTCTTGCAGGGTGCCATGGGTCCAAATCATCGTGGTMGTTGTTGCCAAGGAAAACATGGACCTGATGATGGACATCATCCAGCGGTTCCAGCACAGGAAGGTTCYAGCGGTGCCAGGCGGCTCGACTCGCCACAGGTCAATATGCAATGGAGTCCTGGCTCTGAGCGAGGAGGAGAGGCCAGCAGCTGACAAACCCAAGGTGGTCATCATACATGACGCTGTGCGCCCCTTTGTGGATGAGGACTTTCTGCTTAAGATAGCAGTAGCTGCCAAGGAACAAGGGGTCAGTACAATAAAAACTGTTCTGATATTTCCTCTTTGTTTTCCAAGTTTGGTAATTGATCAGCCAAAGTATTTTGTGCAAAACTTAAGGTAGTTGTTTGTGACTTAATCAGGCAATAAAAAGTTTTATTTTTAGATTTCGTTTTACTACATCAATACGTTGAATTGTCATAACAAGATTAAAAAGGATAAAAAGTGATGCTGCATCATCACGACTATTACCAGCAAACAGTCCAAAAGCCAACCTCCCTGACAGGATAAGATGGCAGCAATATTGTAGAAAAATCCATCAGAGATTTTCGAGAAAGACATGCTGGCTTCCAGGCYTCTTTTTCAGGGACATCCATGGATTTATTCAAAAAGACAACGCCAAACCACATTCTTTTCTGTTAAGAGTTGTGTTGGTTGGATTCATACATAGACAAAAAAAAAGTCAATCAGTCACGTTTCCAGACATTTTCCAGACACGTGAGACGACTGATAAATACGTATCCTTGAAGAAAAACCATTACACTCTGCCTTCAGGTTGTAAGTTTGATGTTTAGACTTGTTCAGACTAAAAAAAAAAACTGAGCGAAACGAATCGTATTTGGACCAATTTTCTCTTCAAGCTTTCATATATTAGTCTCCTTATTGTGCAAGGCTCAGTAAATGTCACATTGTGGAAAGAATTAGTGCTTGTGAAAGCAGGAAATATCTATTTCCAGGGGACCAGCAACACAGAGGACAATCACAATTCCCTTTCACGTTGGGAAAGAACTTCAAAAGCGAGTCTTTCTTCATGCTAGGGGAGTGTAGCCTGGTTAAATTAAATCTTGACAGGAGCTCATGCTTCATCTTTTTCTTGAACCTTTAGTAGAAAACTAGAAAAGTTTTAATTACAGAACYAATTGTAAGCAAATCTGCCGTGCTTAAGCATGAAGCATCATTTCATCTACCTGTTTGGATAACAGAGCACAAAAAGAAAGAGTTGAATGTTTTCCCAGTGGTTAGCGGTGCAAACACAAACAAAGAAAATGATCTTGCAGAGACCTCTCATCATAAATAATGTGTCAAAGTCAAGGCCTGTGGGCCAAATACGGCATTATAAGTAGGGGTGTCCCGATACCAGTTTTTTCAAGACTGAGTACAAGTACGAGTACTTCAGTTTAGGTACTC